CCCTAGAGGTGTCAAAATTAACAGTTGAGGACAGCATGTAAAGACATGTTTTACCCCAAAATGGGAGCTGCTTCCTCAGAGGTACATGGACCCTCTGGGTTCACAGTTGGAGTAAATCAGTCTGCTGAGAGATTCAGCCTTCCCTCTGCTATTAGGTCGGCTTTTTAATGAGTAAAAATTAAAATAGATTATAACAGGCAGGGGAAAGCATGGTATTTCTTCTTCACTAACTGTTGAATATTTTTTAGCTAGAAGACAATGAAAACTTGGCCACTGACTCATCAGTGAACAACCAGCGTCTTATAAATACATATCCAAGATGAAAAAACAAAGTTTACTAATAATTCAAAAAAATAAATTAATAATTTTAACATTTTGAAGATGGGATTTATGAGTTTGTCTTGGCTGTTTGAATTTAATATTTAAGTGAGAAACCCCACATTCTAATTGCTCTTGCTGGACAGCCAGCTAAAAAAGCATAAACTCATCTCATAGAAATAATAAAACACCAAATGACATTTTTAGTTGTTCTTTTTAAAATTTATAACTTTGTATTTTGCATATCAGAACTGTTAATTTTCCATGAGACAGAGTTCTGAAAATTGTTTGCTTGTTGGTAAGACTTCAGATCATGCCTTTTCCAGCTATCTAAAAGTTCAGCTCCCTCTAACTCCTACCAGCTGCCAGGCAATCACATAAAAGTGTTACCAGAGATAAGGTTTAGCCAAATAATCAGACAGTGAATTTTATCACTCTCTTCTAGTTCTAGAAGAGCTAAATGGATTTAATATAAACAAAATACAAAGGATCTTTCTTAATGAATAAACTGAATGGAGAAAGGTCCTTTAAGGGTGGTAGGAGCCTTTCAGTTTTTAGTTGTACAACAATCTGTATCAACACACACAGAATGCAACTTAAAACCTTGTACTCATTTCTAAAGTGATCATAGCTATTTTTCACTGTAAGGCGATTAGTATCTTTTTTTCTAAGCAACTCTTCTGCCACTTGAAAGAAGCACACTGCTTGTAATTTTTAAGTAATTTTGATGGATCCTTTCCTTTGTTAATTGTCCATCAAACTCTGTGTAAATACACCTCCCCCCTACAAAAAAAAGTATCCTCTATCTCAAAAAAATAAAGAAAAAGCATCTTTGTCACACAACCTGTGGACATGATGAGAAGCCCACTGTCTTCCTCAACTTGCCTGTAATTAGCCATACATCTACATCAAAGAATTTCACTTTTGCATGGTGGTGTAACTCTGCCTTCTCTGTATCCTCCATCACCAGGACACTCACCTCATTCAGCAGCAGGCCTACATTTTCCCTTCCTTTTGTCTTCCTTTTACTACTGATACACTCAAAGAAGCTCTTCTTGTCTTTTGAATTTGCCAGCTTTAATTCCAAGACAGCCTTCCTCATTGCATCCCTATATGCTCTAGCAACTGTCCTATATTCCTCCCAAGTGACCAGTCCCTTTTTCCACATCCTGTAAGCTTCCTTCTTCCACTGGAGTTTTCCAGAAGCAACTTGTTCATCCATGCAGGTACGCCTTAGTATTAGCACTGGCTGTCTTAAAGTCAGCAATCTTTAAAGGTGTTTCATTCCTATAGTGGAGTTTTGGCTTTTGTAAAAGTTGCTTTAAACAAGAATACAAACATTGTACAAAATACAAACTACCATTGGGAATAAAAGATAAAAGTTGTCAGATTTACTAGAAAAAGGTCTGTGAATGTAAAGTTGTTTATCCTCACATCCAGCTGACTTTAGGTCTCATCATAAGCTTCAGTTTTTCATACCAAATAGCAATTTTTTCATTATAAATTAATTTAGCCTCTTGAGATGCGCACCATCTAGGTACACGCATGAGTAGACAGATATAAAACAAGTATTCTAACTAGTTTCATTGAACTAACAAGTTTCATTAAAAGTGTTGATAAAAACTGTATTCTAAATTGCAGCATTTGAAATGAATTTGAAGCAGCTTGGATATTGACTGCAAAGTAGGCACACAGATACTAGCGATCAAGGAATAGAAACAAACTGTTCTCAACACCCAAACGTTGCTTTTGGTATTACAACCGAGCAGATCTAGTGATGCAAATTGCTGGTTACTGTACTTCCCATGAAGTGCAATGGAATACATCCTTACGCCCTAAACTCTGGAGCTGGATTAGATTTTTTTGCAGACTTTGAAGTTCAGAAAGAAAAAACAACCTTAGGTTTGTGTGAATGGCAATATCAGAGACAATTTTCAAGCTTCCTGCATGCACACCTTCCTATGCATGCTTCCAACTTTGGTTCTAGGGCAAGACCCAGGTCCATAGCAGGCCAGAAGGGAGATGTCATTCTTGCCAACCATGCCCTTCAAGCACCAAGAACCAGGACTTGTGAACCTCAGCCCTGCAGTCTTGAGGTCATCTCTGCCCTTTGATCCTGTTTGGATTAGGCCCTTGAGGCTAGAGGATGTTCCTACAGCACAAAGAACAGAGAGGTTGGGGCTTCCAGAGGAAGACATAGCGAAGCAGACCTAAGTGTTCCTTTTGCAGGATTCTGGCAACTGAACCTGTAAAAGATGTGAGCAACCTGCAACCTAAAATCCTAGCAAAGAATTGGGAAGAAAGGTAAGGAAGAGGAAAAGCAGGCTGCTCCCCAGACCTCCACGTTAGGATGCAGAAGCGTAGCTCTGGCAAACAGCATGTTGCTACAACTTGAGACAGATGGAAATGTGCTTACTTGTCAAAGCTGTTATCCCCTAAGAGGAAAGAAATTATGCTGCCTTGAACACGCTGTGGGTAACAGACAGGGAAAGGTCCAGAAATAGAACAAAACTAATAATATCAAATTAGATTTCAAATATGAAATGAAAGCTGTCTTTTGCACAGAAAGGGGTGGGGTTTTATTTAACAGAAAAAAAAAAAACAGAACTTATTTTAGTTCCAAAAGTATTACAAGAGTCACATATTCTCCTGATGAAGACTCTAACTTATTACAAATAAATGACTAATGTTTGGCATACACTATTATCAACAGAATAATTTCTGTGATTAAGGAGTTTACAAGTTCTGTTCTATATAAAATACTGAATAATTTGGGATACTGAGCTTTTAAAGAGCCTTCCAATTCCAACTACAGCACAACCGACTCACAAATGTTGTTTTTCAAAATTTTAGGTACCAATAATAATCTGAGTCTAGCTTTGGAAAAATGCAGAATTTTCTTCATGAGCCAGTGGCTCCTTCAAGGTCAATTTAATAATGAACTACATCTTCTTTTTTAAAGTACATATCACAATAAAGCTCAAGAAGAAAATCATCTTTCAGCTGCAGTATGTTTTTCTAGTCCTAAATTCTTTCCATCCAAGTAAACCCACCCTAGTACTTTGTCTACTGAACCCACATTAGAAAACAAATGCAGCCTGCATCTCTTCCATCAGGGCAGAGTATGACAAACAGAAAGATCTTTTGCCCTAATGGGTGTCAAGATAGAAATTATTTTTTTTTAAATGGCAAAAATGGCAATTTACTTTTACCAAATTCTGTGTCTCCACCTTCCATTAGGAGAAAAAAAATATTGCAATTAACATAAAATTGTTATGATTACTACATTTTAACATTTATTCTTGCACAGAAAGCCAAATAGGCAGAGACATCTATTTCAGACAAGCTATAGTACTAGCAGCACCCATTATTCCACAGACACCACATTCAAGTCCAACTGAAAAAGGAAGTTTCAAAATGCTTTCGTATGCATTAAAACAATTTTTTTAAATCTTTCAGGTTTTCTGTTCAAAGTCTTCAGAAACAGTGACCTTTTTTTTAGGCTTGGTAGCCTCGTCCATCAGTTCCTTCAGCTGCCCAATCTGTTCATCACGGAAATCATTAAGTTTTTCTTCTGTGAGCTGGATTCCATATTCAGTCTTTTCTTTCAAGTTTTGTTTGTCCTCATTAATTTGTTGCTCTATCAGTGCTGCATAGTTCTGATGAAGAAGGAATACAAAGGTCACAAAAATGCAAATGCAGGATTCAGGTCAACTTTTTTTAATACCATTTTACCATAATAACATACTCTTACTTAAGCTTCTACAATAGTCTATTAATTAACACCGAGTGACCAAAAAAAAAAAAAAAAAAAGGAAAAAAAAAAAGAAAAAAAAAAAAACACACCACTTTTTATGAGAAACAGAAGTTATTAAGACATTTCTAGTATTTACGGCCAATTTCATGTAGCTAGTTTAAAGTGTGTATCATTATGTACAGATTAATTCTGTCATATCATGTACTACTACTAAAAAAAAATAATTCTAGATCAAATATATTTATGTAGTTATAACTATAAAAATAGTTTTCTAGCTATCAGGATATCAATATGGTTCACGTTGTAAACTGATACATCTGGAAATGTATTATTATTGAAGAAATGCTTTACAAAAAGGAGTCCGTAATTAGACAAAAGTCCTAAAATCTTTCTGCCTAATCAGTCTTTGCATTTCTGGGAACTGATAAGGTCATTTGCACTCAGCACT